TATGGTGGGGGATAGAAGTAGTTGTTATAATAGGTGAGCTGAGTGACCACACATACGGCGGAGGGAGTGTGAAATATTAAGCTTTCGATGGGAAACCAGAGAAATTTATGTTTGGTAAACCAGTGGTCAGACAACCTGACCACCAGGTGATTCAGCTTCAGTGGCTGCAACCGCGCAGCAATGTCGGCGACGCGAAGATGTCCTAAGGGTAATAAAGTGATCTTAAGAAATGTCAAGATCTCCAGGACAATGAATATGGGTATCCCATGCTAGTGTTGTTACTGGGATTCCTCTCACAACTCCAGTCGGGGCTATGCCTGACATTTTATTCCTGGGACGCATTCCTCCGGTTAGTATTCATTGCCTAAGCAGTGAGTATTTGCACCATCTCAGTGGTTTGCTGTAATTATGCCCACTATTACAATTTGTTTTATTCCGTGGCCGTCTTATGACTAATAATAAAAGCCGTATAGTATCAAAAACTATAATTTGTCTTAATATAAGTGCAAAAAACCGCATCTCTTCGTTGAGCGGCTCCTATCTCATCACCGCAACTGGTTCTTTAGAGACAGTGTCTACTATCGAAGATTTAATTATCAGCAACTTAAGTTCAATGACAAAATAGCAACCACATTTGCTCTCTGTGAAAAGCCGATACTCGCAAGTAGCTCAAATGCTAACACCAACCACAGTTTGCTGATGCTTTTCTCGCTTTCAAAGATTGAATGCTGATGACGGTTTTGATTCCACTGGCATTCGTCAATGCCAAATTTTCATCAAAACAAATGAAAGAATTGTAAAGAGACTTACTGTCCCGCCGGTAAAGTCGAGCCTACGACCTTTTGCATAAAAGCGCTACTTGCCAATATGCTATGCTTGCCAGCTTATCGATAATTAGCATGAAAAAGCATTTAATATTCTAGAATCAAAAAAGTTAAAAACCCTTTCTAGAAACATTTACCTAATAAATCCTGCCGGCCTATTAACATCCAGCGTTTTTAGTTCATTAAAAAAGCGCAAAAGTCTTGTTAAGCTAACTTTCTGGATTCCTTTTTGGATTTCCGAAGGGACTGGAAACGCATTTCCTTCGTCACTTTGCAGGCACACAATTCAAAATGCACAAGATGGAATGATATTATCACACTTTGCTTTATCAGTCATTAAGAAGGAAAGCAAACTCGTACAGCTTCGAAAGCATCGAGCTAGTGCATTATGACAGTGCGTTTTATTGATACCAGATCCAGTTTGGTACAAAAAATATCAAAAAGCAGCAAAAAAAAGCGAGGGGAACAGCGATCCAAAACCCAAAAAAATTGGTAAAGGAGGAGAATTTTTATAAAATTGTATATGTTTCAAACATCGAACTTCTTTTTTATTATCAGCAAGCTGTTAGGAAAAAATTGCATGTTTTATTTTTTAAATGATGGCTTGCGATCCAGAATGGAATGCCATGGCATAGCTGTGTTTGATGTATTGGAGTATTCCAGAAACATCACTGAAACGGGATACCCCCACATCGAGGCAATCTTCACAGCAAAGAATGACATTTATCATCCAACAATGCGTTTGGATAGTTGTTTACAAAATTTATTTCAAATTTATACGCATTTTTTTAAAGCACTTTGCATATTTGCGCAAATACAAAAACACATATTTAAAGAGGCTGTTTGTGCGTGTATGTATGTAGTGCTCGATTTTGTTACCACTTTTAACTGAGCAACCAGAACAGCTAGAAAGCTGAAATTTTTGTGGCACTTTTCTACTTCGTGTGAGACCCTGCCGTTTTAAAATCAACATACATATACGACTAGATCTCATGTATAAATACTTGAATCAACGCGAAAATTTTGGCGAGAAAAAGATTTCAGGAACTAGACGAGCTAGCAGTATAAAAATTTACAAGGATGTTCTCAGCCCTAGTGTTAGCTAAAAATTTCAAATTCAGCTATCACGCATGCCTAAATCAGGTCAGTGTTGAAATGAAAACATCGCTAATGAAACCCAGGCTGGCGGCGATGATGCGTTTTTGCATCAAACTTTGAGGTACTCCATCATATTTCCCTGTCCTTGCCTCACCCCCTCCACTTGCTCTTCTCGCCCCTCTCCCTTCTCCCGCACCTGCCCTGGATATCCATCTTCTCCAAGCGGTGATATTGTGCTGCATTATACAGCACGATTACAAAGCG